AATATCGACCGATACATGAAAACAACAAATTAAATAAGTAAAGCCGTTATCGGTCATAGCTGGATCTTCGTGCTAATTAATTTTACTCCAAAATGAATTAGAGTAACACTAGAGTAACCGACTCCAAGCCGACGTAGTCTAGTATAGACTATAAAATACTGAAAAAATGATGACGTATATAACATTATAAATTTTCAGTACTTACAGTCAATATCGAAACACAGCCTGTCTACCAATAAAACATACATAGAAAAGTATGTGCACTTTATTACACTATATAATGAAAACATTAAAACGAAATATTGACCTTTAATTAATTTTTAATAGAATAGAGTTGTTTTCTAAATAATGAAAATTATATCGACACTTTATCTAAATGATTCTAGAGCAATTGGATTAAAAAAAATATTTTTTAGACACTTTCTGCTAATTATACGCTTAATTGATTTTAATTAATTGTGATTATTGTATGGTTTTCCAAACTCTGAAAAGTTTTTTCCAAATATCTCCAAATGATTTCCAAACGATTGGATAAAATAATTTTAAATAATTTTTAATTTGTTTGCCAACTATACGTCGGTGTAACCACGTAACCAATTATTCGTCATGGGTAGCGACTGTGTTTTTACACAATTTGAAGGGTTCTGTTCGGGGCCGCTAGGTAAGCGCAACAGTCGAACTGCGCGGCCCCGAACAAAACCCTTCAAGTCGTGTAAAAACACAGTCGCTACCCATGACGAATAAGTCCCTTGCACAATGCCAGGCAACAGGCGGAACAGGGAAAGAAATCAGAAATCATGTATAAATGCAGAATAAACAGTGACACAGGCAATAGACACAGAGTTTCCGTCACGTTGGAAATTCTTAAAGTCCCTGTTACATATGTATAAGCCCTAAAATGTATGTGAGCGAGTAAGCGTGAGATGGCGTTGCTAGAGTAACGGACGGAAGCGTTAACACACGAGACAGCGAGCAGTGAACGTCCGAATAAAGAACGAGTAGTCAATTACGTATAGTGTTGTTAATAAGTTACCCCGGCCATCCCAAGTATAACATTGGCGACGAGGAAAAACGATTTACCGAGGAAAAACTAATAAGGACGACGTCATGGCAGGCGAGTCGAGTATTGCAGCGTTTAATCCGAACGAGGATCAACACGGCATATATCCGAGATGGGAGAGATGGCTCAGAGGCTTCGAGCTTTTTCTGCTGAGTAAAAATATAACCGAGACGCAGAGGAAGAAAGCTATGCTTTTACATCATGGCGGGATGGATCTACAAGACATATTTTACGCTATTCTAGACTGCGACGTGGTGATAGGAAACGAGGATCCATACGAAAAGACTAAGAAAGTGCTAACGGATTACTTTAGGCCAAAATTGAACACGACGTACGAGCGACACTTTTTTAGAAATATGGCGCAGAAAGAAGACGAAACGGTCGGTCAATTTGTAACACGGTTGCGTCAGCAAGCAAAGTATTGCAAATTCGCTTCTATGGACACAGAAATTTGCGATCAAATTATTGAGAAAGGTCGTTCAATGGAAGTGAGGAAGCGTATATTAGAAAAAGGTGACATCGAGTTAAAAGAGGCGATGGAAATTGCACAGGCGTTCGAGACAGCATCGGTTCAGACAAAGGCTATAGGAAATAACGTAGTGGCACGAATTACAACAAAAAGGGAGAACGCACGAGGAAAATCAGACAGTTCCAGTTCCAGTGGTATTAAGTGCTACAGATGTGGTTATCGAGGACATGCACAATCAGACGAGAAATGTCCGGATAGAAACAAGGAGTGTACGAAGTGCTGTAAAAAGGGTCATTTCGCAGCGATGTGCAGAACATATCGAGATCGAGCAGACAAACATGGCGACGGTTCGGACAAGCGGGACAAGAAGGAAGTTAAGACGAACAGCAGCGCCAACAAGGAGGAAAGAAAGTCGGTGAAGCAGCTAGATATGGCGACGCCGCTGACAGAGACGACGACGAATATGCGTTCGCCTTAAGGGGATCCTGCAGCCGTATGATTTACCGACATTATCGTTTTTTGATGGATCTTTTAATTGGCTTTACAGAATTGCAAGTTTTTGGTCTAGAATTAAAGTACGCACAAAAATCTAGGGCCGAAAACGCGATTTTATATCAAAAACACCAAAAAATTAAAAATGTTACTTAATTTGGGCACATACAGCTGTCACCTTACGACAATATTTACTTAAAACAAAAATTCTGCAGTTTATACATACATAATGTTTATCATCTGCCCTTGGGAAAACATGTAGGAATAATATCGTGCAAGTAGAAGTAAGATTCAATGCGTACAAAAAAAGATCCATCGAAAAATTATTTTAGTAATGCAAATACGGATGCAGAATGACAAGAAGAGCAGCAACAGTAGTTGCCGGATCTTGCGTAAGATGGCGAGCAATCGAAAAAAGGACAGATGTCATTTCGTTAGATAAAGACAGATATAAGGAAAACAAAATTAGAAAGGTTGACATCGAGGAAGTTCGCCAGTCACTGCAGGATCCCCTTAAGAGATAAGATATGTATATTAGAACACGGAGAGGTAATATCAGCGACTGTAGGGGGAATAGAAA